AGGAATGTATGATTATCCAGTATCATTCATCTCATCATGTTGTTTATAGGAATATATGATTATCCAGTATCTCATCATGTTGTTTATAGGAATGTATGATTATCCAGTATCGCATGTTGTTTATATGAATGTATAATTATCCAGTATCGCATGTTGTTTATGTGAATGTATAATTATCCAGTATCATTCATCTCATCATGTTGTTTATAGGAATATATGATTATCCAGTATCTCATCATGTTGTTTATAGGAATATATGATTATCCAGTATCGCATGTTGTTTATAGGAATATATGATTATCCAGTATCGCATGTTGTTTATATGAATGTATGATTATCCAGTATCATTTATGATGTCATTTACATTTATGGGGGTTGTGTACTTGATATCACATTTCTATAGAGATATTTCCTGTAATTAAGGAGATCGTTTTTAACTTTTATTTGGGAGGTGGGGGTGGGGCTGACTGGTTACCACATGCATGTTGAATCAGAAGGTTGGTCTATGAGTCAAGTGCCATGTTTCGATTCCCCACATGTACGTGACAAGGAGTAGGGTCGCCTGTCCAATCTTGTGGGTTTTCACGGAATCCTCCAGTTTCCTCCCACTGCTGTAAACAAATTATTTAAATAAAATTGAACCATATGTTAGTCCCGAAAAGACCTAGCTTGTGTCGAGTGGACATTAAACCTCATTTCTCTCTCCCTCTTTTATTTTTTGAAATAATACCAATCATTTTTAAGTGATGTGAGATGATTTGAGAAGCAGACTATTTTATTAATATGGCCTAATCATTATAGTCTTCCTGCTAATTATTAATCCTGGCCTGATAGCAAAGATATATTTCTTATAATAATAGATTTATTGACACTAATATCGGCTTGTCAAGTAAAATCATCAGACTACAGGGCCAATTATAGCAATTTACTTTAAGACAAGCTTGAACTGAAACAGAGTGAGAGAGAGAGTGGGCGAAAAGGAGTTAGCGAGAGAGAGAGAGTGGGTGAAATAGAGTGGGAAGGAGAGAGAGAGAGAGAGAAAGAGAGAGAGAGAGAGAGAGAGAGAGTGGGTGAAATAGAGTGGGAAGGAAAGAGAGAGAGAGAGAGAGAGAGAGAGAGAGGGTGGAATATTCTCATGCATGCAGATGTCTGGTAATTGTATGCCCCCTCTCTACACAAAACTGTGCAGGTGTCCTTTTCACAGAACAGAGAAAGCTTAAAGACCTCTATGTAAAATTGTACCATATATTACTCCCACAATGACCTAGTGTTGAGTGGACCTTAAACACTCTCTAGTAGTTAGTGCGGGGGATTGGGGAGGGGCCTCGTAATTGGAATAGCCTAGGACATTTCTTCATTTATATCCATCACTGGTTGTTAATACTGTTTGTGTATCATCTCTCCCTCTCTCTTTCTCTCTCTCTGTCTCCACCTTTAAACCAACTGTAAATAGATACTTCCCACAACACTACAGTATTTTGAAGTCTTTCACCCAATGTGACATGTAGTGTAATTCTATTTGATGAAATATACACTTGAAAGACACTACACAACACTTTGTTATTGGATAACAGTCAACAAAAACATTATGTAAGTTTTCACTGACATCTACAAGTTTCAATATGTTTCATATAAAGGCTGTTCTCAAGTGAATATTTTTTTAGTTTCAAGACAACCATTTTATAGTCAAGTTGATATAGTACTCCGCAATGATGACATGATTTCAGAAGATGATGTGGGATGTTGGACAGGTCATCCCTATAGTCTGTACTCTAGAGTCGCTGATGTTTGGATATTGACTTATTGTGTTCTGTGTTTTGTGTGATTGTCCTGTGCGCTATGTGACTGTCCTGTGTGCTGAGTGACTGTCCTATTTCTGAGTGATTGTCCTGAGTGATTATCCTGTGTGATTGTCCCGTGTCCTGTGTGATTGTCCCGTGTCCTGTGTAATTATCCTGTGTCCTGTGTGATTGTTCTGTGTGATTGTTCTGTGTTCTGTGTGATTCTCCTGTGTTCTGTATGATTGTCCTGTGAGCTGTGTGATTCTCCTGTGTTCTGTGTGACTGTCTTGTGTCCTGTATGATTGTTCTGTGAGCTGTGTGATTCTCCTGTGTTCTGTATGATTGTCCTGTGAGCTGTGTGATTCTCCTGTGAGCTGTGTGATTCTCCTGTGTTCTGTGTGACTGTCTTGTGTCCTGTATGATTGTTCTGTGAGCTGTGTGATTCTCCTGTGTTCTGTATGATTCTCCTGTGAGCTGTGTGATTCTCCTGTGAGCTGTGTGATTCTCCTGTGTTCTGTATGATTGTTCTGTGTTCTGTGTGATTCTCCTGTGTTCTGTATGATTGTCCTGTGAGCTGTGTGATTCTCCTGTGTTCTGTATGATTGTTCTGTGTTCTGTGTGATTCTCCTGTGTTCTGTATGATTGTCCTGTGAGCTGTGTGATTCTCCTGTGTTCTGTATGATTGTCCTGTGAGCTGTGTGATTCTCCTGTGTTCTGTATGATTGTTCTGTGAGCTGTGTGATTCTCCTGTGTTCTGTATGATTGTCCTGTGAGCTGTGTGATTCTCCTGTGTTCTGTATGATTGTTCTGTGTTCTGTGTGATTCTCCTGTGTGACTGTCTTGTGTTCTGTGTGATTCTCCTGTGTTCTGTGTGATTGTCCTGTGAGCTGTGTGATTCTCCTGTGTTCTGTATGATTGTGTTGTGTGATTTTCCTGTGTGCTGTGTGATTTTCCTGTGTGTGCTGTGATGTATGAATGTTCATATATTTGAGGATGTCTTTATTTTTGTGTCCTGTCTGCTGTGTAATTGTTCGTATATCTAGAGGTTAACTAGATCGTTCTATGGTATAACAACATGAGGTATATCTGGGTGTTGTTTAGATCGTTCTATGGTATAACAACATGAGGTATATCTGGGTGTTGTTTAGATCGTTCTATGGTATAACAACATGAGGTATATCTGGGTGTTACCTAGATTGTTCTGTGGTACAATAACATCAGGTATATGATTAATATAACTTACATATCTGTTTAATCTGTATAATACATATAACATCTTACCTGAAAATAGAAGGAATATATTTAAATATGATGTCAGACAGGTATATATTAGTGAAAATTAATCAAAGGGCAGTATAAGAATGATGATATACCTGAGTTATAACAAGTCTAGAATATCCAGGCTGAAATGTACACTGGGGTTCTACTGATTATATTGTCCAGGTAAAAAGGTAGATATTACATTGAACCAGGTAAAAAGGTAGATATCATATTGAACCAGGTACAAGGTATATATATCCTGCCCACCCTAGTTGATATAAGTGTGTATATATAAAGATATTGAACAGGTAATAAACACCTGATCAATGGTTATCTATAATATAGATTAAAACAACCAGAAACCAGGTAGTGTAACAGCAGGGGATGCATGTTCATCAGGTAAAAACCACTTGATACGGCTACAGACCATAGACGCTAATCTAAGATAGGTTGCCAGGCAACAAAAAATACTTATATAAGCTAATCTAAGATAGGTTGCCAGACAACAAAATCTACATATATATATATATATAGAGAGAGAAATGAGGTTTAACATCCACTCGACACAAACTAGATCATTTCAGGACTAACATATGGTTTAATTTTATTTCAATAATTCGGTTGCGTATAGGGGTCTTTAGCAGTGGAAGGAAACCGGAGGACCCGGAGAAAACCCACGAGTTGGACAAACGACCCTACTCCGTGTTACGTAAAACCGGGGAATTGAAACCACGCCAGTTGTCTCAATGACAGACCTTATGATACAACGTGCATGTGCTAACCATTCGGCCCTCCCCCCCATCAACATATATACACTAATCTAATATAGGTTGCCAGGCAATGAAACATACATATATACATCAATCTATGATAGGTTGTTCGGTTGTGTTTAAAACACACTTTTATCTTCCGCTAGTCGTGAGGGTGGGGGTTGGATGACCAAATGGTTTAATTTGTGCCTGTCAGATCATAAGGTCTGTCAATGAGTCCAGTAACATGGTTTTCGATTCACCTTTCCAACCTTGTGGTTTTTTCCGGGTCCTTCCGTTGCCTCCCAAGCAAATTATTGAAATAAAATTGAAACATGTTAGTCCCGAAATGACCCAGTCCTTATGAAGTGGATGTTAAACCACATTTCTCTCTCTCTCTCTCTCTCTCTCTCTCTCTCTCTCTCTATCCATCACTGGTAGTTACATGTAGAAGAGTTTGTGTATCATTTCATGTATAAACAATGCCACCAGTGCAACATAAACTCTGCCATTTAACTAAGTGAGAAGTTGGACCTAAGATAGATAGACCACATACAGAGTTTGAACTGACAGGTTTGATATTTACATCTCATGATGAGAGGTGAAACAGATTTCATCATGGTCGGTCAGAACATGGGTTATTAATGGTTGGCTCCACCACTTGTCAGACATGTATCCAATATCTACACAAATTTCTCAACTTATCAAATTTATTTGCCCTTTTTATTAATTCTATATTTTACTTTTTAAACATATACATGTATACCTGTCTTAAAAGCCCAGTTGGTTCTTATTGTGAGGTCCCCATTGTAGTCATATTCTTTATAGTAAGGCCCCCACTATAGTCAAATTTCAGGTCCCTTATAGCAAAGCCTCATTGACTTGAGTCACATTCCATGGAACCTTGTAGGAAAGTCCCATTGGGTCAAATTCAAAGGTCCTTATTCCCTGCTTGTACATGACAAGGATTAGGGTCGCCTGTCCACCTCATGTGTCTTTCCATCCCACAGCTAAAGACCCTGATTTGCAAGTTCCCAAACAACCTAGTTTGTGTTGAGTGGGCATAACACCCAATTTCTTTCTTTCTCCCTTACAGTAAAACGTCATACCACGAATTCTTTTAAAATCAAATTGTAACTTTAGAACATGCTGTCAAAATTATATTTTTATACAAATGTTGAAAATGTCACTTGTTATTATTTGGTCTCAGGTTCTACCAGTCAGCAGAGGTCCCTCCTGTTGTTAACGGTTACAGTTGTTAATGGTAACACGATCTATGTACCTGATGATAAGTTGACATATGTTGATTACAAAGAGAAAGGTGAAACTACAGGTAACGTTAAACAGGTAATTAACTTTCTACAGGTGAAAGACAAATTTACCCTTGGTGTTAAAGATTTACTATGTAAGAACTAAATCAGAATAATTTATTGAGTTAAATTTAAATTAACTGTAGATCTATAATTTGTCAGTGCGAAAAGTTTACTATGTAGTCATTTACTAATATTCATTGTCTGAAGCCTTCCATTTTATACACTAAGTTTATCTGGTTAATAGGTAGTCTGGAGCCTTCCATTTTATACAATAGTTTATCATTGTCTGGAACTTTAAACAGAAAAGTTAAACATACATTATACAAGAGCTAAATCTGCCTAATGCAGGTCTTTTATTGTGCTTTCAAATGTTATATAATTATTGTTTAGACATTTATTCATTCAACTCTCTACATCATCAGTTGGAAAAGAGAGAGAGAGAGAGAGAGAGAGAGAGAGAGAGAAATGGGGTTTAAGTCCACTCGACACAAACTAGGTCATTTCAGGACAAACACATGGTTCAATTTTATTTCAATAATTCGCTTGCGCGTAGGGGTCTTTAGCAGTGGGAGGAAACCGGAGGACCCAGAGAAAACTCACGAGGTTGGAAAGGCGACCTTTTTCTAACGTACAACCCGGGAATGGAAACCCCGTCAGTTGACTCAATGACAGACCGTATGATACAGTGCAGCATGCTTGTGCTAACCATTCGGCCATCCAACCCCCAGTTTGAAGAGATATTGAATGGATTAGATAATCAACTCTCTAGCTCATCAGATGGCCAGGATATTGAATGAATTAGATAATCAACCCTCTACGGCATCAGATGGCCGGGATATTAAATGGATTAGCTAATCAGCTCTCTAGCCCATCAGATGGCCAGGATATTAAATGAATTAGACCATTTGGCCATATAATAATAAGTTCAATTTAAAATGAACCTCAATAAAAGGACTAACAATCGAGACTTCGTTCATCGGCTATTTCTTGTCAAAACTTCAAACACTCACAACTAAACACTCAAAATAAAGAAATTGGACTGAATTTTTTTATATATTCATTTTGAACCATATTATCTAAATGTTACATACACCATCTTTAAGAGACAAATGGTGTATGGCTTATAATACGATAATACGATCGATAGACTGAGATATTAGTATGACTCATAAATTGTTAGTTAAACTGTGTATTTCCCATCAATGACTTGCCAGATTACTTTAAAAATATTACATACAATCTGGTCTAAATGATTGTGGATATTTAGTACCCTACCCCCATCTTGCCCCACCCTACCCCAAACGCACCTGCACCCTACCCATGATTTTGATCGCCAGGACAGATTTTCATGTTTATATCCACATGAATGTCCCGTTCCTCCTTAATTGTAGGTAGTCAATTTTACCATATCGTCATCATATTACCCCTAGTTAAAGCTTTCATCGAAATAACACTGGTAAACTGTTCGTAATTATTATTTTGGTTTGGTAATGAAAGGTTCCAGGGTTCGTCCGCCCCCCCCCCCCCTGAAGTTATGACAAATCCACGCCCTTGCTCCTCGCCCCCATTGCTCCATTGTCATATTCCAAATATTCCCAACTGGAGTATTAGGATAGCAGTCCAAAAATTGTTTTGTTTCCTTCCAAATTTATAATATGTTTTATTATATTTTATTACCTCTATGATATCTCGACCCGTTCTTCCAGGACTATGTTTATTATATTTTATTACCTCTATGATATCTTGATCTATTCACTATGAGATGAATACCAGGATATATTTATTTCTGTCAGTGTCTTTATAGTAGGAATCAAGTACTCAGATCTTTATCCTTGCCGTGTCAGGGGAGCCACAGTGACGAATTAAAGACTTGTCAAAAGACGATATTTTATAATTTAATGAACACCAGCCAGTACCACCACCTAGAAGTTTCACTGAATCTTTCCTTCCTCCTCTTTTTGTTAATCTGATTGAATCCAAGCTAGGAGATTATCTACCTTTTATATTTTGATTTTGTTTATTTTCTGAAAACATTTTTAGCATGGCAGGCCTGTAGCTAGAGGGGACGTGGTGGGGGGGGGGGGGCAGCCCAACCAATGTCACTCGGTTTTAAGGGGCACCCATACTGATATGGGCATGTTGGTCGTTAGCTTCATATTGTGTCCAATGGAATGGCGTGGTTCAGCGATCCCTTGCCCCCTCCCCCTTGCTAGCTACGGACCTGCATCGACAGTTGAAATATAAACATTGACATTTGCTAGTCTTGTGTGTGCATTGTTTCGTTATGCCTTTGCAGTAGTCAGAAAGGTTGTAAGCCCAGTTGAGGCGTGGACAGCAGAAGAAGACCAGTCAGACAGAAGCCATGACATTAATAACCACTGGACATATGCCCACATGATGAGACAGGTTGCAATCTACAGTCGGTTTTTATTGACTGTAAATAAAGTATGCTTAAAAAGATGATTAGCCTAAATTACTTTAGCATTGACTAAGCCATGAAAATTTACATATCTGTTCCAATGTCAATCAGCCTGTTTAATTCGCCACTCCACCATAAAACAAGTTGACCTAATGTCATTCCGTTTCCCTGTATTGTGTCTGTATTCAAGATGCATCATTTTATGGTGACTCATAATTCCCAAACCTCTACCAACAGGAAAAACACAGAAATCATTTGTCTATTTGTTGAGATTCAATGAAGTCAAGTCTCTGTAATAACAATAGATGCTCTGTTCTTAGGCCGGATATATCAAGAATTCTGTTTCTAGAATTTACAATGTTCTATATATCATATAAAGATGAATAAATTGCGGGTTGAAAATAATTTTTATAAGGATGGTTTCGTAAGGCCTATTCACAGGGAATTATTGAGATTTAAGGATAGGACAGGCACACCATTTTAAGATATGGTCATCTCTTTAAGATACAGTACACCAATTTCAGATATAATGCACCTTTTTTCATACATGGCACAACATTTTAAGATACGACACATAATTTTCTGACATAGCAATGAAATGAAATGGGTTCTAACGTCCTACTGTTCTGCTCCTATGCTGGGCTAATGAAGAACGGGCTTACGCCATACAGTGTGCTATGAGGGAAGTTTTGCTCGGGCAGCGGTACTACTGCCTACTATTATATCGAATTCCAACTGCTACGGGATCTTTTATGTGCACGCCAATGTGTACACAGGACCACAGTGTTACGTGCTATCCGAATGACTAGACAGCTGTCCTTGTCAGGCCCTCCGTCATGCATCACTGACCAGGGGAAAACATGCTGGAAAATCCTGATGAAGTTTCTCGGCCAACACTTGGAGCGAACCCGTGACCTCAAGGATATTTAGCCAGCGTCTTACTTACTTAGCCACTGTGGCTCCCCTGACACGGCAAGGATAAAGATCTGAGTACTTGATTCCTACTATAAAGACACTGACAGAAATAAATATATCCTGGTATTCATCTCATAGTGAATAGATCGAGATATCATAGAGGTAATAAAATATAATAAACATAGTCCTGGAAGAACGGGTCGAGATATCATAGAGGTAATAAAATATAATAAAACATAGTTCTGGAAAATGGAAGCATAGAAACCAGAAATCTTTACGACAACACCACACAATAAATCTCCTATGATTAAATAGATGTTTAAATTAAAATTCGAAGCAACGGTTCAAAGTTGAATGGAATAAAACAAGAGAAAACATAAACCCAGGAATCGAGTTACTGTATAGTCTGGTATTATATACAAACTCACGTCCCTATATATCATTGAGTATTAGCCACTGTAACTCGGGTATCATTTAATTATGTGTATCTAGCACTAATTTCTTTTACATTCGTTTAATATCGAATCTCTGTTTAAAAATTCATCAAAATCATTTAAAATTCACCCCAAATCATCTAATTTGTGTCCAGTTTAAAGCTGACTGATTAATTTTGATAATGAGTGTACATGTCCAATTTACAAATATTTAAATACCTGACCACTGTACAAAAATGAATCATTATACATCAATAATCAATTGGGTTGTTTATTTGTTAACAATGATCGAAAAATTAAACAATTGTAAATTGGACAATCATATCAAAATTGAATGATCAGCTTTTAAACTGGACACAAGTACAAATTGGAGATTTTCAAAGAATACATAAAGCTAAATACATAAGATAAATTGATACACAGGTTACAGTGTAGGCAGGCATGCTATTTCAAAATTTTGCTGGTCAGACATTTTAAGTTGTGGTTAACAGAGGCCAGAATTAGGTCACCAGAAGTCGTTAGTCAGCTTCAGGAATAGCGTACATAAGCTTCCATTCCCTTTAATAGAATTCAACTACAAATATTTCTATTTTATGTAGCATAGATGTTCAGAATACAAAAAAAAATATCTAAAAACATTCAGGATGTCTTTAGAAATGACTATTTATTTATTTGTTCTGACTATTTATTTATTTGTTCTGTTTTTTTGTTTTCAGAGAACATCTCTAAAAATGTTCCAAGATATTTTTTTGAAACTTCGTGTAGTTTATAGTAGATGTTCTTTTTGTTAATTAGAAATTTTTCGGATAAATATTTTTTGTGTTTCCATGGAAATAAATTTGATTTAATTTTGTAAATACATGATGTTGATGACTGATTAGTGTTATATGTTCTCTGGTTTTGCTACATGGTGACAGTCAATCAATTTAACATTTTCATTCATCCATCACTAAAAACATAAAATCCATTTTAGTTTATCACTCGAAATATAAATGCCATCTTCATTAACCAGGTGTGCTGAGGAATAGTTAATCCTCCATTTCATTTTGTTTCACTTCCATACATAAACCACTCTTTTTGGCAAAATAATTACTCATGTTGACTTTTTAATTTTTTAAAAATTGGATTTATTTCTGATATGTCGCATACATCTTTGAAAAATATAATTATATTATAACAAAACATAGGTTGCCAAGTAAATAAACATAGGTTTCCAAGCAACAAAGCATAGGTTGCCAGGTAACATAGGTTGCCAGGCAACAAAACATAGGTTGCCAAGCAACAAAACATAGGTTGCCAGTAAACAAAACAGATTGCCAGACAGCAATACATAGGTTGCCAGGCAACAAAAGCCCAACAAAACATAGGTTGCCAGGAAACAAAACAGATTGCCAGGCAGCAATACATAGATTGCCAGGCAACAAAACATAGGCTGTCAGGCAAGGATATATAGGCCCATCTATTTGCTTAGTGGTCTCCTGGAACACTATGTTATTGTTATCACCATAGAAACACAAATCAGTTATTGTTCAGAAAGGTATCCTGAATGTCTAGTCTAATCCTTCATGTACACATGTACATACCATTGACAACATAATAAAATCTCCTGTCATTTGGAAATCCAAACAAACTGCAAGCCATTAGCCCATTTTAAAAGCCTGGTTGGTGAAGAAAATTATAAGATGTGGATATGATATTTAACATATTTAAGTAGGCATTTACTATGAATTATTTTAAAATAGTTTATGCATATAGTTTTATTTCCTCAATCACACGAGAATGTTTTTTTTATATAAATAACTATTTGATCAGCATGAAGATGTTGTAACCATAACAACCACCCCTAATCATATTTCCTCCTACTAACACCACTTATAGACCGTATCAATTTGAAATTTTGGAAATTAAAAAGGGTTTAATGTCCTACTATTCTGCAATGACTGAGCCATTGAAGACGGGTAGTGTGCTATTAGGGACATTTTGCCCAGACAGCAGCACTACAACCTACTCTTATTTTGAATTCCAAGTGTCAAGGTTTTTGCACGGGACTTCAGTTTTTTGTACCATCTGAACTACTAGACACTGTTCCTTGTCAGGCCCTCAATAACCCCTTCCCCTGCACCACTGACTCAGGCCCTCAATAACCCCTTCCCCTGCACCACTGACTCAGGCCCTCAATAACCCCTTCCCCTGCACCACTGACACAGGCACTCAATAACCCCTTCCCCTGCACCACTGACACAGGCCCTCAATAACCCCTTCCCCTGCACCACTGACAAGAGTTAAATACAGAGGAACTTTCTCATTCACGACCGGGAGCAATCCCATGACCTTCTGGTTAATCAACTAGCACCTTGCTCACTGAGCCTCCACAGCTCCCTCGGAATCCCTTTTACAACTTTGAGAAAAAAAATTTAAAATTTAAAAACAAAAATACTTGTAATGTTTTATAATTTTGAATCTTTTAGGTAATAATATATTTAGTAACTGGATGGGGTTATAACACATAACGCAGAAAAATTTGGGGCAGAGATCTATTCTTGAAGTAAAGGATCTGACATTAATCACCCATAATTAACATAAATATTTCCACAACATAAACTGAATCCATGGAAACCGAGGATTGTATAAACTGAATCCATGGAAACTGAGGGCAGAGTATTTACTCAACCAGAAATGATTGTAAATCGCGATCGGACATGACACCCACACGAAACACTGTCTACCAGTTCTCTACCAATACTCGACAAGTATACATTTAGTTTAGATGATTGACGATCTCTTGGCAATAATTTGAGATGTCTGGTAGATTGATTCTACAGACCGATAAAACCTCTCAATACAACATGGCTGTTACTTTCTGATTTATTTCAAGGTCAATGCCCCTAATTATCTCCCACAATATACAAACCATCCCATAATTCCAATAGATTTATGACCCTTATGTAAATTGCATTGACCTGTGGATGTCTTGGTAAACAAGACTAACTCTATTGACCGTCAACTGTCTGGGTAAACAGGACTAAATCTATTACTTCGTGACTAGTAAAAGATACGTTTATTTTCCCCGTCTGTTTGATATAACTGACATTGAAGGTAACTGGTGAATCTATAATTAACCTATATAGTCACTTTAGTCTTTTCTCAGGGCTCTTGACTGACAGTCGCCAGTCTAACCTCGTAGATTTTCTCTCGGTCCTCCTGTTTCCTCCCACTGCTACATTGAACCATACGTTAGTCCCGAAGTGACCTTGTTGGAAGTTAGTCTGTCTCTCACCAGGACCAGTTTCAGATCATTCTGGGCACATTGACTAATAACTAATTAATGTAGACTGCTGGAATGATGGCAGACCCGTCGTCTTTGCCCGAGAGAGAAATAGTGTTTAAGTCCAAAAGATATAAAATAGGCCATTTCGGGACTAACATATGATTCAATTCTAATTCCATTACGTGTAGGGGTCTTTAGCAGTGGGACAAAATCAAAGGATCCGAAACAAACTCACGCAGTTGGACAGACGACTCTACTCCTTGTCGAGTACAAGCAGGGAATCGAACCCATGCCACTTGACTCAATGATAGACCTTAAACCATTCGACCACCCAACCCCACTCGATTTACATGTAGTGAGGGCTGATTGATAATAAGGCTGCACATCAAGGGCCCAACGGTCATTCTCGTTCAAACCATCTTACTAACATGTTCTGTCTTTCTTCTCCTCCGTTTTAAGTAGATTGTCTCCAAGAAAACCTCACCACAATCAATAAACAATTATTATTTTAAAATCAACGAGACGATTACCAACGCCCTATAACAACAACCCATCATGTTTTGACAAGCTATGGTTGTATGAGATCAATACGATTGGCCCCCGGGGCTACGGTTCATTATGATCAATGATTTTCAATTAAACATGATGATTTTACATCAGCCTGTGTTACGATGTAAGCATGTTATACATGTCATATGATCGATGATGTTCAATCTCTCTAACAAATCTATAAATCAAAATGAAATGAAACGGGGTTTAACGTCCTACTGTTTTACTCCAAACTGGGCTAATGAAGATGGGCATACACCATACAGTGTGCTATGAGGGAAATTTTGCCCGGACAGCGGCACTACGGCCTACTCTTATATCAAATTCCAACTGTCAAGGGATCTATTACATGCATGCCAATGTATACAAAGCCCCTTTTTTTTCCGTCCCATCCGAATGATTAGACAGCTGTCCTTGTGAGGCCCTCTGTTCTGCACCACTGACAAGGGGAAACCACATTGGAAAATCGGGATGAACTTTCTCGGCCAATGCTAGCGAGCCAGCGTCTTACCCACCTGGTCACCGTGACTACCAATCTATCAATCACTTTATACAGGTCACAATTCTATGGAATACAATTACTGAGCGACATCAAAGAGAAATGGGGTTTAACATCCACTCGACACAAACTAGGTCATTTCGGTTCAATTACTGCTTATTACTAGTGGAAACTTCACTCAGTAATAAGCAGTAATTATATTGCATAGAATTGTGACCTGTGTATTCCAGTTCAATTACTAAATGCCATGGTAACAATATATTTTACTTATATCAGGAATTGGGATCTATAAAAATCGATTTATTTACAAGGACAGCTATTTTCTATTCTTGATGCCTGTTCAAAATGTTTTCCGGCGTGGTTTCCTCTGGTCAGTAGTTCGGATTGGACGAAAAACCTAGGACCCATGTATACATTGAAAGTTCATCGGCTTTTTCCGACGTGGTTTCCCCTTGTCAGTGATGCAAGATGGAGGGCCTGACAAGGACAGCTGTCTAGTCGTTCGGATGGGATGAAAAACCGAGGTCCTGTGTGCACAAGAGATCCCTTGGCAGTTGGAATTCGAAATAACAGTAGGCCGTAGTGTGGCTACTTGGGCAAAATTTCCCTCATAGTACACTGTATGGCATATGCCCATCATCATTAGCCAGTTGGAGACGAACAGTATGACATTAAAACCCATTTCATTTCATTTCAGTTCAAAATGATAAAAGTCGTATAGTCATATTGACATTAATGTTAAATATTTTGCACCTATTGTTCGTCTTGTAAATCAATAGCATGTAAGATATTATTAATACGTTGTATTAACAGTTCTTTATTACATAAATTTATCTTAAAGTACACAGGACGACCGGTTTCATTAGCGCAGAAAAATCAATCTGTTTCATACAGGTATTGTAAGTTGAAATTCCTTCTAGATGAAACGTCATGCGGTGTCGATCATTAGCTCAATAGTTTGTGCAATGTTTACACAATGTGAACCGGTCCGGTCAGAATGATGCCTTTTATTCATTTTATTTATCTATTTACACTAAATCAGAAATATATTTCACTCAGATAAACTTTGAACTTATTTTTCTGTTCTAGAATTTAATTTGGAGAAGAAAAAAGGTTAATATTGGGGCTCATTAACTTAGACCGATGTCATACCTCTCAGTGATATTAGTGGCCTAGCAAATATTTACTGCTCATCAGTGCAGAAACCTTAGGACATTTATGCCCCTTTCAAGGACAGCAAAATTACCACATAAATTTCTCTCAATAACCACACAACGGCCTTCTTCATTAGACCAATTAGTGCAGAAAAGTTAGGGCGTTCAACCCCTTTTCAAGGACAGTAAAATTATTACATAAATTTACTCTGATAGAAGAGATAGCACACAGGTTGGCCATCGTCATTAAATGATTGAGTTTGGAAAGAAGGACGTTGAACCACATATATTTGATTTGAAGGACAGTAAAAATACTAATTTGAAATAACGTCAGAACCAAGACATGCAAATCTTTATT